TATGTCCAAACATTGGATGCTTGTAATGGACTTAGGGGTAGAATGATAGAAATTGAATGTAGAAGAAGGGAAATTAGGGTTAAGAGAAAAAGAAAAAGACGAAAATAGATGATGTTTGTATTGAATCTCAGCATAAGAAACTTCCATCCTTCCTACAATAACTAAATACAAGCTAAGGCTAACAAAATCCCACAATTCAGCTGTCTACAACTAACGGACGCACAGCTGGAATTGGGGATGCAAAACGACGTCGCTGGAAGTGATCAACTGCTGCCTTTGCAACTGCCCGATCCGACGTCGTCGTTTCAGCTTATTCTCGCCAACGAAATAACAGCTGCTTAGACGACACCGTTTTAGGCCTGTTCTTTAACTACTGCTTGACTAGCCTTTATCTACCTAACTTCTTCCATTTGCCCTTACACTTGTAGCCATTACATCCCTGAATTCCTTCCTTATGCCATTTTCTCAGCTGCTTATCAGAGGGACTTTTCAACATCACATTCCTGGTCAGCCCCTTCAGGTAAACCTTTTTTCCTTCCTCATAGAAGGAAATGCCATGGGGTCTAGTGTGTAGCTGGATTGTAGCAAACTGATCCACCCAATCCATACCCAAAACAATATCACACCCCCCCCCCCATCTCAACAGCCTGAAATCTTTGACAAATTCCTCCTGCTGAATATGCCAGTTAAGGCCTAAGCAAACTGAATCACAAGCAATATTCTCCCCATTTGCTACTGTCACCATAAGCACATTTGCCTTCTCTGGTTCCTTTCTCAATCTATTTAACAGTTTGGGGTCCAGAAAACTGTGGGTGTTCCCACTATCAACAAGTATTATAATGGGTTGTTTCTAGATAGAGCCTAAGAGTTTGATGGTATTTAGCCCCTCACCCCTACAACAGCACTCAAAGACAGCTCAGCCTCCTCAGCGTTGTCCACCTGTTCTAATGGTTCAGGGTAATCACATTCTTGGTCCTCGATAATGTTAAATGTAGGCCCTCTACATTTGTGTCCAGGTTGCCATGCCTCAAAGCACTTAAAACACCTTCTCTGGTCTCTGAGTTGATTTCTAAATTGAACAATATCAGTGGCTTTAGAAGCTATAGTTTGGATAGAGGTTGTTGGTTTTTTTTTGGTGTATGGTAGGTGTTTGGTTTATAAGGGTAGGATGGTGCAACACCCCTAAATTTTAAGATATTCAAAGCCTATAAAATAAAGGTGAATCTAACATTAAATCCCAAACTGAGCATAAACAAAACATAATAGTCAGGGTAATATGCCACATCTAAGCTAGAGAACTTAGATGCACAGGCTACACTAATAAACCAAACACAAATCCATGAATCCATAATTGGGTAGCCTACTAATAGAATCTAAGACTATCTAGACTGGATTCGGGGGATCCAACTAGCGCACTCCAAGCTACTAATCTGTACCTGAAAAACATACGGTGTAACAACCGTCAGCGAATAATGCTGGTAACCCACTCCAACGTGTTAAGTACAATATAGGTAGATATAAGAAATCATTTTGAAACCGGAATACATATATACTTACAAAACTCTAATTTAAATCCAAGATCAAGACTCAGGACACGATAATAAACCCGACAATATAGAATAATCATAAAGGCTAGCATGCGTCCTAAGAACACGTTACAAGACATAACAGACTGATAAGCATATAAATAGCAAATAGAGACAACCAAAGCATTCAAGATAATCAGTTAGCAAGTTGTTATCAAAGCACACAATCCATCTTCCAACCTTATACCAAGTTCCAACCTTGTAGCTCCCTTCCGTCCTTATATCAGTTCCAACCTATACCTCCAGGCCACCCTTATATCGCCTCCCTTATTCCTCTGGGCAACTACACACCCCCACCGACAAACCACCTATCATCCACCAACATATCAAGATAACGCCGCAGTGCCATTCGCATGATCTGCACCTCTAGTGCCAATATCAATGGGTCAGCGCATATAGCCCTGACATGACACCGCAACACTTATAACCTGACCCATGCTCAACGGCAAGCTAGTCGAAGGTGGGTTTGTGCCTTTAGCATAGTAACCGCTAGGCCTGTACCTTTAGTAAAATGACCGGGCACAAGTGGTGCCAACCGCCAACAATTCATTTCCACCAATCACAATCTCAACATCATTATCATCTGTCACACCGGCCATTGCGCAATGACCACGATACTCATCATCATTCAATCAATCAACACATAATCAATCAATAACAATCAAGACATAACCACAATGACACGTACTACACATAAATTCCTAGAACGGTACTCAAAACACCAAACGAGACTCATACACGTCAAACGGAGTACAACGGGACACGAGGAAACATCAAACGGGGAAAAACATCACGACACACCACCAATTTCCAGCGGGTGGGTGACGGGTGGAGGACCACTCGCCGGCGGCGACCCTCCATTCCAGCGTGTGCCAGGCAGGCAGTCGCCTGCCCGCCGGCTGCCCGCTGGAACAGTACTTCCGGGTAGCGGGTAGGTGGCGGGCACCCGTGCCCCCACCTATCCCCCACTGATACTCAGGTAACTTTTTGGTCCCGGGATCTCTCGTGGAACCCAAAACCATGTCCAGACACATTCAAACACATAACGACAACACCACGTATTCAATTAACGGAATCAAACCAAGAATCATACAAAATACGTTCTAACACGATTCCTAAACATGCCAAGACTTCACATTAATCATACAATGGTTCAGGAGCATCCGGAACCTCAAGAATATCAAGAAACCTATATGCAAAGTCCTAAATACAAGTCCTAGGCTAGACTCAACACCCGATCATGCACAAACCCACCCAAATATACCAAGAACATCATAATACGCAATTCACGATATAAACCCTAGGGACAAGCTCTAGACATAATTAAATACAAGATCACACATATAATCAATTACAATTATAAAGATCACCAAGATTATCAAATAAACACAATATAAATCATAGGCAAGGCTCTATCAAGACTCAATCACAGAATCACACATACAATTATCAAAGGAGCCAATAAATAAGATATAACAAGGAAAATAGGTTTTGTAAGACATGGGTTACCTCTTAGCCCTAATCAATATCCTTGGCTACTAAGGTTCTTCTCTAAGATCTTCCTCCAATGGATTCCTCTAAGTTTGGTAGCGGGGAATTCTTTGCTGGGTTTCCTCGGGGAATATCTCGCATGATAGGGTTAATCGTAGTAGGGTTTCTAAATGCTTTCTAATTCCCTATATATAGATTCAGGAGTCCTAACTAGAATCTGAATAGTAAAGGTCTCTCAAACTGCCTAGCAAACCATATGGTTGCTTCCAGGTTCCTAGGCTGAGAGGTCCTGACAAAACACCTTAGGTTTGGTCTAAGCCTGGCAACATAATTCTCAAGGAAGTAGTGATCAGTTAGGTAAGGAAAATCTCTCAACAACAAGCTCTTGTAACCCTCATACTCATCAGTAGATTCATCAATTCCCCCCCCCGCCCCCCCCCCCCCCATTTGTAGGAGGCAAAGTCCTCCATTAGAGAAACTCCACTATCCCCAAATCTCTTACTCACAGGTTCAGCAAAATCTGGCCACAGAAATTCCCCCCTTAGATTATGCATATACCCTTCATACCATAGCCTAACCCTTCCAGTGAGGTGTACAAACAGTTTGTTCATAATATCATGCCTAGGTATGTGAGCCAGTACAAAAAATTTCTCACATCTGAGAAGCCAGTGCCTAGGATTATCATAATCAAATACATGGAACTCATTCTTATACTTGAGGAGTTCCAAGCTCTGGCCAACCCCCCCCCCCCCCCCCTAGGTAGCACCCACGCCTCCTCTTCTTTGCATCCAGTCCCTGATAGGTATTTCCAAGGCATCAATCTCTACTGGAGTTCTCAGCCCTAGCCCCACAGGTGTTTCTCGATCATCCTGCATAGGAGCTTTGTCTGCTCTTCTTCCCGGATCCACACAAGGACCTTCTGGAACTTGCCCTTGCACTGTTGATTAGCCTAGGGAGTTCTCCATGATCAGCACCACTGGTCGGTTAAGCCTAAAGAGCTGCAACAACTCCTCCTTGAAACTGCTAAACTGAGCAGTCATGTAACACCCCGTGTTACGGCCCCTAAAACCAATTAATCATTTAATCATTTACACAAAAGAAAGGACTAAATTCCAATAATTAATTATGAAAAGGTCCACCATAGTCCATGGGCCCTTATCCCTAAACCCAATCCCCTAGTCCTAGAAGGAATAGAACTAGCCCTAATTAGGGACTCTTAGGTATATAAATAGGGGGCATATGAGGCACCTAGAACCCACACCACAATAATCTCTCACCACACAAGAAGTTCCAAGAATCCCCCCTAGGAGAAATCAAGAAAGAAGGAATCTTAAAGAAAGACCCTTCATAGCCAAGGAAATTAATTAAGGCTAAGAGGTAACCCATGTCTCAACAAAACCTATTTTCCTTGCTATAATTATCTTCTTTGGCCTCCTCTCTATACTTGTGTCTTGATAAATCGTTTATGATGTTGATGATATGTTCTTGATGATTATGAGATGATTTTATGTGTGATCTTGATGATCTTGATGATGATAAGATGTTCTTGATGATCATGTGATGTTCTTGATGAATCTTGATGTTTTGATGATTAAAAGATGAACTATGATTTTATTAATTTGAATATGATTAGAGCCCTAGGTTAAAAGTGGGAATTTCGTATTGTGTTATTCTTGATATAATTGGGTGGGATTTCACATGTTCGGGTGTTGATTATGTTTAGAAGTCATGATAGGATATGTGCTATATGATTCTTGCTTTTAATCTGTTAATTGTCTACGTGGTGTCATCAATTGCGTTTAAAAGTGTCTAAGCATGGTTCAGGTTCCACAACGGATCCCGGGGCGTTTATTTTGATAAAGAGTCAGTGTGGGGTAGGTGGGGGTAGGGGGACCCGCCACCTACCCACTGCCCGAGAAGGGCGTCGCCGGCAGCGGGCAGCCGGCGGGCAAGCGACTGCCCGCCGGGCACCCGCTGCCCAGAGACTTATCACCGGCGGGCAGCCGGCGGGTGGTCCTCCACCCACCGGCTACCCGCTGGAAATTGTCCAACTCGGGACTCCGGCTTCCCCGTTTGATGTTTCCCCGACCCTCGTGGTATCCCAACGGACTCCGTTTATCGTGCCTAAGTCTAGTTTGATGTTTCGGGTACCGTTCGTAGGATAAATGAGTCTTATATATCGCATGCTAGTTGAATTGGTACCTCGTTGGCCTAGGTGAAAGAAGTATGAACCCCTTAGGACTATTCCTAGTTTGTGGATGACCACGCATAGGTTTCTTTATACGTTTTCTCCCCTTTCCCAACGTGCTAATATGAGTTGAATGTGCTTGCTATGTGTTATGTGTGCATGATACCCCAATTTGGTTGCGATCAAATTGGTTATTCCTGAGCTGCGGTTCAGAAGCTGGCTGTTGTCAGAATTACACTCTTGGGCTGCGGTCCACCGTTTGGTTGCGATCAAACGTTTTACATGAGCTGCGGTTCATATTCCTGGCTGCGATCAGATGATCACTTTTGGGCTGCAGTCCACCGATTGGTTGCAATCAAACGTTTTACATGAGCTGCGGTTCATATTCCTGGCTGCGGTCAGATGACTACTCTTGGGCTGCGGTCCACTGTTTGGTTGCGATCAAACATTATGATGAGTTGCGGTTCATCGGTCGGTTGCGATCGACCCCTTCATATTGCGATACGAGGCAGGGTGCTGCGGGGCCGTGTCAGAGCTATGTGCATTGACCCTCATGTATGGGCATGCGATTGGTCCTGTGGCGCCACCAAAGTGTGCTTGTGTGTGATGAGATACGAATTGGAATGATGATATGAATGAGATGAAGTGAATCTGTGACTATAGGATATATGCTAGTATCTTTATATGCTTGGTTATAACTGTTGAATGTGCTTATCCCTATCTGTCGAGTCTATTCCTGGTTTTTAAAACTAGTGTCTCCTAAGTATATATCTTCCTGCTTCAAAATGACTTTTCGTATATCTATCTATAATGTATTTCAACGCGTTGGAGTGGGTTACCAGTATCTCTCGCTGAACAAATATATTTGGCTTTCAGGCACAGATGAGTAGACACTGGAGCGCGCTAGAGATTCGGAGCGTAGAGTAGATAGTTTCCCTTTCGGCCTGCGTGCCATGCTTATGTATTGACATTATTGAGGATATTAGTTATTAGCCTGTGCGCCTGAGTTCTCTAGCTCAGGTGTGGCATAGCACCCCGTACTCTTATGTTATGTTTTGGGATTTAATGAGAATTTACCTTTATTATATTAGTCTCAAAAGTTTTAAAATTTCGGGGTGTTACAAGTCAGCCCATTGATTGATTCCTAAGTGGATTGATTAAGCTAAATCATGGACGCTTCCAGCTTTTTCATGCGTTCCTCTATGAGGGCTCTGATACCACTTGTAATGGACTTAGGGGTAGAATGATAGAAATTGAAGGTAGAAGGAGGGAAATTAGGGCTTAGGAGAGAAAGAAGAAGAAGAAAATAGATGATGTTTGTATTAAATCTCAGCATAAAAAACTCCCATCCTTCCTACAGTAGCTAAATACAAGCTAAGGCTAACAAAATCCCACAATTCAGCTCTCTACAACGAACGGACGCACAGCTGGAATTAGGGATGCAAAACGACGTCGTTGGAAGTGATCAACTCACTACAAGTAAAATGCACATAGACAACGGTTAATAACCGTTGTCGTAGGGGTATAATTTCTGTTGTTGAAGCCGGTGTTGTTGTAAGTCCCGCGCATAGACAACGGTTTTTTAACCGTTGTCTTTTCTAGAAACAACAACGGTTTTTTAACTGTTGTCTATTAAGTGTTGTTGAAGCTGGTGTTTTTGTAAGTTACGCACATAGACAACGGTTAATAACCGTTGTCTTTTCTAGAAACGACAACGATTTTTTAACTGTTGTCTATTAAGTGTTGTTGAAACCGGTGTTGTTAAAAGTCACGCACATAGAGAACAGTTTTTAACCGTTGTCTTTTCTATAAACGACAACGGTTTTTTAACCGTTGTCTATTAAGTGTTGTTGAAACCGGTGTTGTTAAAATCACGAACATAGACAACGGTTTAAGAACTGTTGTCTATTGAGTGTTGTTGAAACCGGTGTTGTTAAAAGTCACGTACATAGACAACGGTTTTAAACCGTTGTCGTTTCTTTCAAAGACAACAGTTTTTGACCCATTGTCTATTCAATGTTGTTGAAACCGGTGTTGTTAAAAGTGATGCACATAGACAACGGTTTTTAACTGTTGTCTTTTTTTTTAAAAGACAATAGTTATAAACTGTTGTCTATTGTGTGTTGTTAAAATCACTGTTGTTAAAAGTCATGCCCATAAACTGTTGTCTTTTGTAGAAAATACAATAGTTTCAAATTGTTGTCTATTGTAAAATAGTCTCAATCCATTTTTAACCTGCTTAAATTTTAATCATATAAAAAAAATCAATTTATCCATTCACCATTGCCAAGTGTAGTTACATAATTTTGCAGAAGCTAAGCAAGGTTCAAAATAACAAGTCAAAATACTTTCATTACCAATTCTAATCGAATCATCATCCAAGTCATAATACTACAAAAAACAATTCTACGAACCAAGTCTAAATGATTACAACGTCAAATCATACCTACTCTATATAACTTGATAGAATATTGGCCCATTCTGAACGCACCAGATCAATAACCGCTTTGTCATAATCAACTTGTTGGAACTACATGTAAAAAAGTGAGTAAATAAATTAGTATAGATAATAAATTTGCAATGAAATGCGAAATAAGTTAAGAGTAATTCGAAAAGCAAAAAAAGTAGGGTTATAACGCAGAAGAAAGTCAAATATTTGCTAATTTGCTAAAAAGAGATTTCCATATTAAAGAATTGAAGTTGAACTTCCCTAAACAACAGCAAATTAACTGCTTTTTAAAACACATTATTATAAACATCACAGCTAAGAAACATATAGCAGTTCTAAAGACAAGAAAGGATGCTTGAACTTAGATTTGCAAGATCTTTTGCCATAATGGCTTCATCTTTATTACACTCCATTCAAAAAATCCCAAATGGTGCGTAGACTAAATGTTGCTCAATTTCACTTAACATATCAAAGCCCAAAAAGCATATTTTGCAAACAGAGGAGGTATTTATACACTACACAAGAATAAAAGTGAACCATTGATGCTATAGAATTGATACATTGTTAGTCATGCGTTAGCCGGAAGGGTCGATTACCAACCCCGGCCCCTATCATACCGTCTTTAACCCCTACACACCATACCGCACCATTCTGAACACCACACCGCACCACGCAGGGCCGTTCTAGGCCATGTCGGACCGGCGCGACCGCACAGACCCCAATTTTTTTTAAAAAATATTATCGATATAATCTATTATTTTTTAAACTTGATAATTATTATTATTATTTTTGAATTCATAGATTGGTCTTAATTGTAATATAATTGAAAATAAAACTTTAATGAATTGATATTGAAATTTTGGTGAATAATTTTATATTTAAATATGAACGAAAATAGAACTATTAATGAATGGACACGTCACTGGCCGCTCATGACGGTGGTCAAAGCTATCAGCCCAAAATTATAGGTAAAAGATAAGGTGTAACACTTTAGTATATAAGAATTGGTGTGGTTTGGTGGGTTTAGCTTTGTTTGTTATGTTAAAGGTTTTGGGTTCTATCCTTTTTTATGGCATTTTTAACCTATTTTATACAATCATTGTCTTGGTTCTCAGAGAAAACACAGAAGAAAACTGGTTATATCCTAGATGTTGCGCTTAAATACATAAGTGTTGTTGTGGTTTGGTGGCTTTAGCTTAGTTTATTAAGTTAGAAGTCTTGGATTCTATTCTTCTTAAGGGAATCTTTAAATTATTTTTTAAAATTGTTGTCTTTGTTTTCACAAACAACACAGAAGCAACCCAATTATATATCAGATGTTGCACTTTAATACATAAGAGTTTGTATTGCTTAGTTGGTTAAACCTTATTTGTTATGTTTGAGGTCATAAGTTCGACTCCTGTTGTTAACATCCTTGTTTTTATTTTATACAACTGTTAAATAGTGATGCGCAAAGACAACGGTTTTTTATAACCGTTGTCTTTGTAGTGTTGTGTATTCAAATACGCTTAAAGACAACATACCAAAGACAACGGTTAAATAAAACCGTTGTCTTAAACAAATAAAGAACGCGCAACGACAACAGTTATATAAAACTGTTGTCGTTGTAGTGTTGTGTATTCGAGTGCGCTTAAAGACAACACACCAACGACAACGGTTAAATAAAACTGTTGTCTTTTTTTAAAAAAAGAGCGCACAAAGACAACGGTTTTAAACAACCGTTGTCTTTCTAGTGTTGTGTATTCCAGTGCGCTTAAAGACAACACACCAACGACAACAGTTAAAAAAACCGTTGTCTTCTTTAAAAAAAAAAAAAAAAAACTCACATAGACAACGGTTTTAAAAAACCGTTGTCTTTGTGGTGTTGTCTTTTCACAAAATGCACAAAGACAACACACTTATAACAACGGTTAAGTAAAAACTGTTATCTTTGACAAAAATGTTGCATCAAAGACAACGGTTTTGAACCAAACTGTTGTCTTTTATACAAAAGACAACACTTTTCTTAAAAACTGTTGTCTTTCTAGTGTTGTCTATGTGCATTTTTCTTGTAGTGACTGCTGCCTTGCAACTGCCCGATCCAACGTCGTCGTTTCAGCTTATTCTCACCAATGAAATAACGGCTGCTCAGACTAGCCATCATCTGCCTAACTTCTTCCATTTGCCCTTACACTTATAGCCATTACAATGATCACGTTCTTTCTCCCGATGTCCAAGAAAAGCTGGTCAGGGAAAACCCTCCAAAAGGAGTCTTCAAGAACAAAGGCAGCGATCATTGCGCGTTCT